CCATCAACACAGTAACTTCTTCTTCTGTGTGCATTTTAGTTCTCAACATCACACGTGATACCCTCAATACACGAATCACGTGAAGACACTTAACAAACAAATCCGCTCAGTCAGCCTTTTTGTAACAGAAGAACCAAACGGCAAAAAGCCGACATGTATGCAAAGCATTGCCGTCTGTTTTAAGGTGCCTTGTTGCACCTTAAAAGATGTCACGGGCATCAACTCTGCAGTCCTGCTACACGGCGTCACACAGAGCGAGAGAGTCTTCACCTGACCGGTACGCTGCATTTTTGCCTTTGCTCATCTGCATATTCATCCCATCTAAAATCAGTAAACTCTGCTCCTCTCCTGCTTTAGATCGTGGTGAACGCGGCTCAGCGTGTGCCAAGTGCAGAAAATGTCAAACGGCTTACTAATCAGGTGGATTGAGGCGTAGCATCGAGCATCCCGAGGCTACAGGTGACACAGTCAGCGAGAGTGAGCCTGACATAGGAAAGCATGCCCAAAAATAACACCGACTCTTCTCTACTCGGCTGTAGCTTCCCCATGTTGCAGGGCTGTGGTGATGTAAGCCAGCTTTTGGAATCCTAAAAATGCAGTTTGGAGCAGATTATGTCAAAGTCACTGACCTTCTGTCGTTCATGGTACAGTGTGGCCACGGTTACTGGTCTCCTCTGACGAAGGAGGGGGAGTTTTGGAGTAGTCATTTTAGGAACCCTCATTCGTAAATATGAAGCTGAAGCTATGGAGTAGTTAGCATAAAGACGATGAAACTGGAAAACAGCAAGCTCAACAAACATGACACCTGTTACCCAAAACCATCTGGAAACTGACTAGAAAAGGTGAGTTACTTTGGATGGACGATTGGATGAACCGTCTGTCAAACACTACCGGAAGCCAGCCAGGAGAAAAGCACAAACATATTATAACAGGTTTCCCACTGACTTTCTGACAGATCATTGAATCTTGAATTTGAATTTGTATTTTCTGCTTGGCTCCCATTCTAGATTCCGGGCAGCACCGCTGTAGGTCAACCCGGGGGATAATTACACAACATGGTCCCCTATGACATTTGCTGCGTCTTCTGTCATATTAATCCCATTCCCGCTGCGTAAGGTGGGGAAGATGCCGCCCTCGCCCTGCTGACTCCTGAATAGCCCGAATGGAATGTACATGTTTATTCTGCTAATTCTATTGCTGGGCCGGATCCGGGGGATGCAGTGGAGTTTTCTGAATGGCTGCACAGGCATGCCGGGCAGGGCAGGACGAACCAAGGAGGCTTGACGCAGGGAAGCAAGAGATGAGGAGCCAGAGGGGTAAACACAGGCTGCTGCGGTTGGACACGGGGTCCAGTACACGGCTCTTCTCTGTGTGCACGTGCAGCCACGCTTTTGTCGGACACCCTGCTCTTTGGTACGGCCCTGAGGACATGTAGCCTTTCATGTGCAGTCTAATAGGACATTAACTCAGAATATAAAACCGGTGAAGACTCACTACCACACAACCACAAAAGTGCTGGTCTGATTCCACCAGAGACCTCCGTCACGAGTCCCTTTCCACATCCGTCCTCCTTGTCTCTATGCTGCCACATGCCCAACAAATCCATGAAAGACCACAGAGCACCGTGTTATACAAATGGGGTAAGTTGCTACAGGTGCCGACCAAAATGTACTCCTTTGAGGCAACTCTGGAGAGTTTCAACATCACAGCGGCAGTAATTGGCTCCTCAGTCCAGACACTCTCAAAGTAAACGGTAGAATTAACAGAGAGCTAAATAAACGCGTCTCGTGTTACAAGCTTCCTGCACAATGGGATTGCCCCGCTAAGTTCACTGCCAGATGACAATGCCTAAACTGCTGCGTTCCCATGGTAACCGATCTCAGGCGGGTACCCGGAAATATGACAGTTCATATACTGGGAAATAGTGATACGGAGCATTGAATTTGATTTAACAGACCAGAGATGAGAGCTGAAGCTGCATTGCATTCACATAACATCACATCTATGAAGACTTTTTTCTGCCACTTCATGCATTCAGCTCACATGTGTGGGGATCTGCAATACAAGTGAAACATTTTGTCCTCCCATGCCTTTTGAAACACATTTACCTTGCAAATAGCTCCACTCGGTTACTTGTGTAACTTTCCAAAACAGACAATGTGACACTCACACCCAGATAAACCCGCCACGTGGAAGTGGGAACATAAGCGTTTAACCAAACCGGCCTCAGTCACTTGTCATGCGTGCGCCACTGAGACAAACAGCATTCCTCGCATGAGAGACGGTCTCTGAAGTGTGTCCCATGGCGGCTGGCTTTTCTGTCTGCCGTCGAGGACGGCAGGAGCATATAAATGTCTCCCAGTGTGTTGATCACATGGAATTTCCAAAGCTTCGTCACCGGGAGCCTTTTTGTCAAGTATGTAGTTCAGCTGCATTGGGGCAATTAAAAGCGACGCGTAGCTGTGATTAGAACCGCTGCACGAGAGCAAAGCCACGGCCTTCACTAACCCATGATGTAATCCAACTAAAAAGGGATTTAACGTCCAAAGCCTCGAGTGTCGCACCTCCTGCAGGTAGAATAAATGTCTCGTTGGAGAACCACACATTTTCTAACAGGGCGACGCAACACTTTCGAGCATTTCATTCCCGGCCTGGAATTCCACAGGCATATACTATTTGGTATTCATTTTCACAAGCAGAAAAAAAGTAAAAAGAAGCAAATAGATTAGTGTACTTTGTAAATTTGAGTATTTTCCATACGGAACTTTTTGCAGAATTTTTGGTCGTCTCACACAAATCGGATACACGACACAGCAAATAATCAAACGATCAAAATGCTAAAGATATTATTGCCTTCTCGTGTGATATGAATTCTTAAATACCTGACCTATATTATCTTGTCTTAGAGGGGTTGTTAGAGCACTGGAACAGGAAACAGTGACGCTGCAGGGTTCTTGTGATTTCTCCCTCAAACGTCACATCTTGAATAAAAAGACGCGCAGGGAGCTTCATGAATCCACGGGGAGAGATTCACTTGCAGGGCAGAGAAATAAACACGGGTGGTTTAAATTACAGCCAAAATTCAACAAGAAAAAAAGAAACAGGGCTTAACTGTGTTTAAATTTAAGAATGGAGCATCGTGTTTGAGCCTCTTATCGTCTTATCTGACCATGTCTGTTTAGAAATGCAGTTTTTCCTGCCTCATTCTGGCGGAAGTGTGCTTTGGGGGACATGGACTTTCATAACCTTTGAATGCTCAGAGTTGTCCTATAGCTGCTAATATCACAACAGTTATTGACCCGGCATTCCACACTTTGTGTTCGCATTCACGCAGTAACGACAACAGTGACAAAGCTTTCAGTAACGGTGTCTTCCTGTTAAAGTGCGCGTGACACTACATCGGATATCTTACAGTGGTAGTTGAGAGATTTTTCTGGAAAAGAAAAATGATGAAAGTCTGATGATATGTACAGAATCCCAAGGCTGTGCAGAACACTCACCGGTCACTTTAGTAGCTACACCGGTTACTTGCTTTTTAAACACAAGTTGCTAAGCAACCACATGGCTGCAGCTCAATGCATTTCTTGCATGTGGACGTGGGCAACACAACTTCCTGAAGTTCAATCCGAGCATCGGAATGGGGACGGAAAGGGGATTTGAGTGACAACTCAACAGCAACTCAAATAACCACTTGTTACAACCAAGGAACGCAGAATAGCATCTCTGAACACGCAACACCACGCGGAACCTTGAAGACAACGGGCTCTACAGTCCGCACAGGCTCCCCGAAATTGGACAGTAGAAGACTGGACGTTGCCTGGTCTGAAGGAGCCTCGATGTCAGCTGCGACATTCAGATGGTCGGGTCAGAGTTTGGCGTAAACATGAAAACATGGATCCATCCTGCCTTGTATCTACAGGTCATGGCATCGTAGATGTGAAGCCCACAAATCTGCAGCAACAGCATGATGCCATCATGTCAATATGAACCAGAATGTCTGAGGAAGTTTTTCCAACACCTTGTTGAAAGTATGGCACAAAGATTGAAGGCGGTTCTCAAGGCAAAAGGGGTGCAACTTTTTACTAGCAAGGTATCTAATAAAGTGGCCGGTGAGTGTATAATGTCGACTGTTAAATTACTAAACCATCATTTTGATTCAGCCTTGATACTTAAAAAAAAGATGAGAAAGCGATGAAGAAACATTAAGCTGGATAACGGATAACATTCAGCCCGGGGAACAAAGTGTGCGTCTGCAGCACCGGCCTTCACGGTTTCCCTCAGCTGTGAGAGACGCATCTCAGGAGACGCCTGTTACAGCGGCTGCTGCTGTTGTTGTTGTTGTTGTTGTGCTCACGCTGTAGGTCATTAAAGATGCATTTCCAGCTTCGAAACAGGTAACAAGGTTTTTACACCTGCAGGTCAGCAGTGGACACAATGAATAAGCAGCACAACCCGTCTTTTGATCTTAAAAAACGGCCCAAATAGGGAGGTTGTTTGCGTTGGTGACACCATGAGAGGCTTTCACTTGTTGCTCAGGTAAAATATTCATGTGCTGATTCAGCGCTTACTGACATTACAAAAGATCACACAAAACTCTGAGACGTCTCACAATCAGGTTTCAGCATCCTCCTCCTCTCTTCTGCTCCAACATGGATTCTGGATCCACAAGACGCCCCCGACGAGGTGATCGGACTGACCGAGCATCCCGCCTCGCCGCCGGTGTCCTCTCTCTCCCCCCTCTGCCCCCTCCGGAGCGAGCAGCCCGAGCAGCCCCCAACCGTCTCCTGACAACCACAGGGCGGAGCGGGTCACATCCCCGCTCCACGTCACGCCACCTGCTGCCAGATGAGCGACCCCCCTTGCCCCCCTCCCCCAAAGCGCGCAGCGAACCCTGACAGATGCTGAGTGCGTGAGACCGCAAATTAACCCCAGCGGTGCATCGTTGCAACAGGGCGCCGTGACCACAGCGCCAGGTGACCGCGACGGTGCACGTCACTAACCGCGGCCGAGGCTGCGACGCCGCCGGGTTGGTCGCAGGTGGACCCTCGGTCGCGTCTGGGTCGAACCGCGCGCACCTGCCATCATCCGCGCGGCTACAATTGGCGTCCCGCGGCTTTAACTGACCTGAACGCGGAGACGGAAGTGGCGTCTGTGTCGCTGTGTCGTTGCGTGAAGGCGTCTTACCTTCGACGGCCATGGCGCTACTCCTCAGACCCGAGCGTTCCCCGCGGAGATGTAAAAGTCGACGCTCCCTCGCGTCGTACCTTGTTCGGCGTGTTATCACTTGGCTGCGGGCGTCGCGAGCCGGAGCGCACAGCTGCTGCCGCGCCTCTAAGCATCATGGGAAGTGTAGTTCTCGGCGCTTCATGGGGAAACGAGTCCCATTGTCTCTCCCGCCCCGAACACTCGGGGACTAAACTGACGTCACCTGGTAAATGTTTGAGTGTAGAGTCTTCAAATGGTTTATAAATGAATGGCACAGCACTTTGCGGCCATATGTCAAGTCACCATGACAACGGCAAAAATATATACAATTGAGGGTATTTAATTCATACGTTTTACTTTGATTCTGAACACTTCCAGGTTCTTTCCTCATAATTCAAAACTAACTCATTTTCTTCATAATTGCATTCATGCACTTCTCTGGAAACAGAAAATTGTTTTATAAATATATAAGTCTATAAGCCTTCAGACTGGCTTACACTAAAGCCAGTGTACCCGGATCACAACGCATGAGCACAAGGAGGAAGCATGTGTGGAATCTGGAGGAAAGTCAAAGTTAAAATACCTGACGGTTTTTCCGGCACATTTCTCCTGTGTTGTGTGAACAGGCATGTCAATCGGTATGCAAACCCACAGCAGGAACTCGTTCTTTTGTTTTAAATTCTGCTCAGCCTGTCTGTGATAAGGATCACATACAGTAAGAATGTGTGGGTGTGGAAGTGTAGAATTGAAAAAAATATCATACTTTTCGGCACGGTGGCGTGGTGGTTAGCACTGTTGCCTCACAGCAAGAAGGTCCTGGGTTCGATTCCGCCCAGTGGCCTTTCTGTGTGGAGTTTGCATGTTCTCCCCGTGTCTGCGTGGGTTCTCTCCGGGTTCTCTCCGGGTTCCTCCCACAGTCCAAAGACATGCTCTGGGGATCAGGTTGATTGGGGACTTTAAATTGCCCGTAGATGTGTGAATGTGAGTGTGAATGGTTGTGTGTCTCTGTGTAGCCCTGCGATTGGCTGGCGACCAATCCAGGGTGTACCCTGTCTATCGCCCGAAGTTGGCTGGGATGGACTCCAGCCCCCCCGCGACCCTGTGTGCAGGATAAGCGGTTTGACAATGGATGGATGGATCATACTTTTCAGTTAAACAACCAAAACCACTTCTGTGGCAGTGTAGATTTAACAGTGTTTTTGTAATTGTTGCAGATGTCGTCTTTTCTTCTGACAGTGAGTCCTGATCTCATGTTATTCCTAAACTGATATCAAAATGCTGTTTTTCAGCATTTCTATTAGCTCAGTTTATCATAACGGCTGGAAAGAGGGAAACAACTTGAAAGCTGGTCAACGAATAATTATGATAGTTATTGCATGTGTCTCCACATTAACTTTAATTGTCTTCAGCCTTCCTGCTCCTCCCTGCCTCAGGTCTTCATGCTTCGCCGAGCCAAGCTAACCAAGTCCAGGCTCCAATCAAAGGACAGTGGAGTCCATCTTCTCGGTCAGCCGGTGGCAAAACAAGTCATTGCAGTGGCTCATCAATCCTTGTGATTGACTGTAGATCTATGAGAAGCATATTGCACTTTAACGACACAGATCTTCATTTTGCCTTATATGTTGTACACAATATGTCCACTGACTCTCTTTCCCATACTAAAGATACAAAGATAACTGAAAAGATTAGATAACTGAAAGTTTTTCTCTCCCACCAGTCACAGCCACCGATTACATTGATCCTCACCGGTCTAAAAGGCGACAACATTTGTGCTGTGGTCTGCTCTCTTCCTCTTCTCTTCGCCCGCCGCAATCTAATGATGCTGAGCCGCAGGTATTCAGGTAATAAAACCCAATCCGTGTGTAAATTACTGCGCTGCACTACGCAGTGACGCTGCTGGTTACTTGCTTTGTTAACGCGGAGGCTAGAAGCTTCCTTTTTACATATAAAGAAAGTGCAGAAAAGGATCAACTTGCAATGGAAACTTCAAACATCACCAATTGCAGATATCTAAAAACATGTCCATGTTTCAGAATGATTTTCCAAATATCTACAAAAACAGCCCAAAAATATTCTTACACCATCCACAGAGACGCAACCCTCAAGCTTCCACACAGTCCTGCACGTGTCCATTGAGCAGACCCAGATGTGTTTTAAATCTCCAGCCCTGCTTGATAACCACTGAGTGGCAACTTTGCCCCGGGTGTTAACATCACACCACCAGAGAAACGATCTCTCCATCATCCCGACCTTGCTGCAGCATCTCGCCTCCAAACGCCACCTTCTTGTGTTTCCCGGCTCTCATCAGAAACGTGGGTCTGACATATATCTGCTGTCTCATTTTCTGAAAAAAAACAAACCCTGATCCTACTCACGTTGGGAGCGGGGGTCCTTTGATCCGCCCCTTCTGACTCCGGGTCTCCTCCAGAGTCTCTCTGCTCTGCTTGTTCCAAAGGGCTTGTCCCGTTTTTGGACGTCCTCTATGTCCAGTCTCTCCTCTCTGCCTCAGCTATTCCACTGCCTCACCACCCCAGGTGCGTCCTTCTCCTGCTTTTTCTCGCTCCCCTCCAAACTTCTGCTCCTTTTCCACCTGCTTACAGCGTTTGGTCAAAGACGATAATCCGTTGGAGCATTTTCTGTAATGTAATCTCCTCACCCGGTGGCAGGGACTCCTTCTTCATCTTCTCGGTCAGGAGCTCAATGCCAGCACTTCTTTCCTGCACCCCGCTGGTCACCGTGTTTCCCTATTTCCTTTACTGGGATGCAAGACGTTGGCCCAGTTGAGGTCTTGGCCTCCTCCATCTGGGATGCATCTTTGGTTTCCCTGCGAGGCGTTAATGTCTTTCGAGTCTCTCCAAAACTGGTGATCCATGACTTGGCTCCTTGTGTTGACTGTGCCTGAGCAGGAGGTGACTCCTTTAGCATCCAAGTCATTGTCTCTTCCTCTTCTGGTCCCCCCAGCGAAGTTGGAGCCCAGCCGATGGGTTCACTGGCCTGCTTCTGCTCGTTCCCCGTCACCCACTGCTGCAAGCTGCCCGCCAGCACACCACGCTAACCGCGAGGAGCTTCTCGATGTTCTTATTGGTATGGATACTTGAGTAAATCAACTTGAAGTCATATTCCACTAGAGGTCCTTAGTGTTGTCAGGTTTTCCTCTAACGAGAAGTTGGATGAGACTTTTAGTAAATGAATTGATGAACCTTCGCTTCAGCGTTTTACTGGAGGCACGGAGAAACCAACAAGGTTAGACAACTTGGGGAAACATCTGGAGCAGCAGTCAGATAAAGCGTTAAGTCGTACCTAAAAAACCCAAATCCGTCTCTCATTCACTGTAGCAGCTCCAGACTTGTACATGTTCGCAAATATCGATTGAACTTTCCCTAGTCAATGAAATAACATGTTAGAATTCTAAATTAAGGTGGTTTGTATAGTAAAATAATCTCACATTTTCCAATAAAAACTGTGTTGAAATGTGAGGCTGCAGATTCCATCCGACTGAACCCACCCGCATGTGTTTAGCAGGACATTCCTGCCAATAGTCAAGCTTAAACCCCACACAGCTTCTCTAAGTGTTTATGAACACAAGCAGAACCAGATGCAGCCAAGACCTCAGCAGAAGGTATCGCAGATACAAGGAGACACTTCCTCTGAGAGGAGAAAAGCAAACAAGAAGCTTTAGACCAGGAAGCAGCATGAGACCTGGAAGAGACGAGGACCTCCTGCTCACTCGTGGAGGCGTTTGAATTAATCTCACAGAGCAGCATGCAATGATTTCGCCCACTCACTCAAGAGCACCGTGCATCCTGACATTATCAACATCAAGGCTTCATGCTTTGATAAACTGATCCGAGGCAGGGGCGCTTAGTGCTGATTTAACAGCTGTGTTTCATGAGAGCATATTTGATGTGGCTTTTTGTTTGTTTGTCTGTTTGCTGAGCGGGGAGGTTCAGAAATAGGACTTGGCGCACGCACACGTGAAGTTGCAGCTGTTGGCCGTCTGTCAGGGAGAGTGGAAGCGAGTCATCGAGCGTCGGCACAGGATGTCTCTTTAAACTAAGAGGGTCTGACGATATAAACAGTTTCCCTTTCGGCCACGAGAGGAGCGTCAGTGTGCCTCCTTAAGGACAAACGGGCTCATTGCGGTTTCAGGTTGGGGATGACGATTTATTCCCATCGACCGGTGTGGTCTATTTTAGTGGAATCAAGGAATTTAATCGAATAAGACATTGTAATGTACGTAAAACACACAGTCCATCGGTCTCATCTAAGACAGCCCTCAGGCCCTTTCTTTCCAAGCAACATCTAGAATTGTCCGTATATTTACCAATTCCAGGCACAGCTGGATATGACGTCTGGAGGCTGCATGTTTGGGTTTGATGTGGCAGCAGGACTCCAGTGTGTCACGCATTATTCCTAACACACAATTCACGTGACAAGAGTCATTGACATTGCAGAGGGGATTTGCAATTCGACTGAAATAACAAAAAGTCAGGTTAAATGTGAGCGTGACTTTAAACGTGCTGATAGATGTGAGGCGGCGGTCCACCAGTAGAGGCTGCTATGATTGCATCGTTGGACGAGAGCACAAAGAGGTCTCTTGACCTAACGGAGATTACTGTGTTAATGTTTTTCGTAGTGCAGTTCAAGGGGCTTCACATCTGAAGAAAACCGATGAAGCAGAAAGGTCCAGACTATGGAAAAAGTACAAAAACAATTCAGCAATTTGAGACCAGTGGATGTGAGACGTTAGAAATGTACAACAATATGAAGAAAATATTCATCATAAAACTACATATGAAACAGCATGAAAATGTAATAAATATATTTTTTAGAAAGAAGAAAAAAATGTACTGCTCGAATACGGTAAAATCAATGTGTCATGTTGTATCGCTGGTCTCAGGAGCAGAATTCAGACGGAGCAGAAATGGTTAACAGTCTTTTATTTGTAACGGAACGGGGGGCTGAAATGTCAGCAGTCAGCCTGGAGATCACACCACCACATAATGAGACATGAATCACAATAAAAGAGAATAACATTGAAGAGCTGAAATACAATCAAATAAAGGCTTTATAAAATACATAATAGAATAGAATAGAAATAGAATAATATTTTACAGCACGAAAACAGTAAAAGTTGTGAAAAGATTAAACCCCTCTTAATCAAAAGCCTGACAGAGTAGGTTGTAAGTTCCCGTTTAAATATTTCTGCCTTTCCAGCAGCGCTCATATCCTCAGCTTCTGAGCATGGCCCCTTGAAGCTGGTACACTGACTAAAAAGAAAAGTCCAGGATACATTTATCCAAAATAATCAAGTAACCCTGGATCCCTAAAACTGATGATTACGGCCATCAAAATGGGGCTGAACTACTGATCTGCTGATTTGTAGTCATGACTATGGAAACAACGTCTTCAGGGTGTTTTCAGCTCCCTCTCAGCCTTTGAAAGAGCCGGCGCGCTGCAGGTGGGCAGCCGGTGCATTTCCTGAACTAAAGTCTGCTCTGACCGGGTGGTCGACCCCACTGAGCCAAGAGGACGTCCGACTGTGGAGCGAATGCACCTGTGTCTCCTGCTTATCCACATCTGCCCTGCTGCTGCTCTGTTTACCCGCCGCTGCTCGTTGAGGCCTTGTTTTATTTGGCCCTCCTTATTGTTTGCCAATTAATTGTGCAGGAATGTGCATCTGTGAGGGTTTCTCAAGCTGTTCTGCTCTGAGGCCCCGAGTGCGATGACGATTCGCGTTGCGCTCGGTGTGACCTCGCACGTAATTGGAATCCTGTTGTTGCAATGATCGGATCAACATCCCGCCGCGTACCAGACATTCACAACCGTCATCTAGATTGCAGCAGTAGCCCGCTTTATTTGTAAATTTCCTAAATGAAACAGCTGCAACCAGGATTCGGAGGATGTATTTAATGTCTTTTCATTTCCGGGACTAATCAGCAATAACATCTTGAACGGTCAAACACATGGCTCTTGACCAGCCGTCTGAGACAATTCACAGTTGTGATCCAAACAGGGGATCTGGCCTATAAGCTGGCCTCAACAAAGAGTCCAGCCGCACAAATTTGTCCTGGCCCGGGAAAAGTAAACCAACGTGTGGGCCACTAATACTTCCTTCCAAACGGGCTGAATGTTATTGCTTGGCTGCGCCACTCGGCCCTGACAAATGAAGATGGGAAGGACAGTAAATTAAAGCGAGCTCAACTCAGGGGTCAGCGAGGGACGGCCAGGAGGCTGAGAGGAAAACCGCGTCCCCCTGCAGAGAGACAGACAGGATGACAGACAGCACCGCCGGAGCCAGACAAAGTCATTAGAGGCTGCTGTAGATTTATGTGACAGATCTTATGACAACGTTTCACATGATGAGGGGGACGGAGGCAGACGAGAAAAGATAAAACAGGAGCTCTTTGGAAGGGCGGAAGTGTATGCAGACGGAGAGGCTCTAAGTGGCACTGTTTTATTTGAGATGTGTCATTGTGTGGGGCTGTTAGAGGGGCTCTGTGAGGCGCTACATGGGAACTACACCAAAATGATGATATTCAGGAGGCATAGCGTCGACCACTCCTCCCCCTTTGATATATTCCAGAGGAGGAACGTTGTTTGAGGAAAGCTGTTAATTATAAATAAATAGGATTTATCTAATAAGAGTCAAATTATGTATTTGTTGATCCCAGGATCATTTGATTCTTCTCTTGCAGAGTTTCTAACATTTAGAAATATAACCAGAAATACAGCACAATGTACTGTGAGACAGTGGGAATAATCTGCAAGTTTGAATACTTTTTTTTTAATTTGCAATGACAACAAGTAAAGATCCAAATGACAGAGAAAGTTTGGGAACCACTGGCCCCCGTCAAGCGTGATTGGCTGCACAGACGTCACCTGAGAGAAGATGCATCGAGGGAGAGTCTATGCAGAAATTAACTGAACAAAGAGGGAGCAGACTGAAACCATCAACACAGCAGAACCAAGCGCTCGGGTCATCGTGCATTACGGCACTGCTGTGCATCGTTGACCGCAGGTTGTGGGAAAATGTGCTCTCCAAAGCCCGGGGATTTGCACGCTGCACCTCTGTATTTCAGAGATATTAAACGTGTTAGCAAAACATCTGGACTATTTACTTTGACACACAGTCTCGTTACTAGAGATCTTATAAAAACATGTTGCTTTTGGCTCGTCAGCAATCACACTTCATTACTTGCGACCGCAGCAGCCTCTGGAGCAATAATTGGCCACACACTCCTCACTCGGTACACGGACCTTCATACCGTTACAGACACTCTCCTCTGGAATCAAATGCCCCAAAAATAGCCTTAGCATGTCAGCCCACATGACGAGACTAGGGAGAATATGCTTCGATTTATGAATCACACAAACGCTTGTGCTTCATCTTCCCATGATGTCTTAAGATGATTTAAAGTGTCTCTGGAGTCTGCTGATCAGCTGATTCGGCCTTTGGTAAACATCCTAAGCTCGTCTCCTCCGGCTAAGAAGCTTTCACGCTGGTATCGCGTTGAATAGTTCCTGCAGCCTCGCTCTGTGCTTCACACCCTCTGTGTACACCGAGTGTCACGCTCTCCCCCACAGGCCATCAATCACATCCTGCTCCTTCTGAGATGTTCTAGAAGAGGGAGTCCCTCACCTCAACTCAGGTTTACATTCTTCTTTCACTCTTATTTATTTTGCTAAACCGCAAGAGTTCCATTGTTCCATCCAACGTTGCTTTCCTCCCCACAGCGAGGCAGAACTTTTCTTACTTTGATGCTCACAATTCTTGTGTTTGAGCTCAAGAAACTTGCAGATGAAAGTTGGCCTTTGCTCAATCAATCAATTCTTGCAGAAGGCTTGGATATCTATAACATACATTAACTCGTCATGGATGATGTTTTGGTTTGATACAATGCTCGATTATTGATTATTATAGCGTGCAACATTCAGCGAGGCCAAGTCTTAATAGCTCTGCAGAGATTTGGGATTACAGAGTGTGCTGCAGTGAAAGTGAGTCGCACACATCGATGTCGGCTTCAGCGTAATGACTTCAGGGTGATTTGTGTCAGATCAATTGATGAGTTCATTCTCTGGCGCCCTTTTAGCTTTCCAGCACGTTTGCTTTAACGGCGGCCAGTTATGTTCCAGTTATGTGGTTAAAACCGTTGATTTCTTTAGTTGCTGTCGATCGCCCCGCAACATGGAAAACATTTAAGACCCGAGTTGTTGATTCAAGCACAGGCGACGTGACGTCGCTGTCATCAGGGACTGAGGTGGGGGAAGTGCGACTCACTGCAAAAGAAAACACAAGTCAAATTGCTGCCAAGCGGGGAAAAAATCCAAGATTAAAAAAACAAGAAATACAATACCAAGGAAACTAAATTCACAGAAGTAGCTGATTGGGAATTATTCACAGATAGTTAACCTGCTGGCTTTGTCAACACACCATTTAAATGAGTACTTGGATCATACCTCGTATGTGAGGAGGGGAAAAAGTCACCTTGAGGCTGTGGTTTAGAAACCTCAGGTTCAGCGTGCTGGCCGCCGCCATCCAGGTTTGTACAGCCATTTCCAGCGTAGTGCTACACAGGCGGAGACCCACGCTTCTGCAGAGCGAGAAACAACGTGGAAGGTCGTACATTCGTTCATTCATTGTACTTCAGTCAATCAGTGGGGCGACTCCTCTGCTGGCAAACACAAGTCAGATTGTATGTATGTATGTGTGCAATGTTCATTTAGTAAATGGTGGTGCCATTTTAAGATTAATAGACCATAAATTGAGTGAAGCTTGTGGGCGTAGCTGCCTTGTAATCCACATGTCCCGCCCAGCGCGGTGTACGGCGTGTCCACGCCACGCGCCCACGGCTCAAATACGGACACTTGCGTGCACTGGTTGGCGAAGGCTTGTGTACAGAATAACACTAAACATGACACCTTAACAGGGCGGTCCACAAACCAATACGTCTACTTCTTCTATGGGAGAGGATTATCTCATCATCTTGAGGTGCAAATGTTATACTGTTCTTAATTCCAACTATCTCGCTTGTAATATAATAAGGGCTCGGTGATGGTGCAAATGTATTTGTGCTGCAATGATGATACTAGAATTGGGAGCTCATTCTCAAGGTATTTCATGATTAAATCAGAGCTACAGACTGGGGCTCTATTTTCCCTTCCACTTCCTTTCTCTACGTACCCTTACTGTTTTACTCATTTCCATGTGAGCAGGTGGCCTCTACAGGGGATCCAGTGTTCATACTGCCGGTACCGCGCTCCGTCCTATCTGATGGGGTCGAGGCCCAACGTTGTCCGTCTGCATGCGGATGAAACCCTCAGGGAGTCCCATCGCCTCGCCAGCGGTCAGCTCGTCCTCGGCTGACAGGAAGGGATCCGCCGTCGGCGAATCAGCCCGGGTGTGGATGTAAGAAGGTGGAGATTTGTGTGTGTGTGTGTTGAGATGACAGGTGAAACACTACTTTGCTTTGACACATGAACGTCCACAGGAGACAAAACATCCACCTTCTGTCCTCACACCAACAAAGGAGAGAGCTTAGGACCCTCATAGGTGTTTGCCAGCGAGCGCGCACTCTCTTCACACCCCACTGCTCCGGACTCTGTAAGGAACACATTCCAGGGAGGGTGTCGGGTCAGTGCGGGCGCCGAAGGACACGCGGGGCTTTTGCAGGCTGCGGTAATTTGTTTAACCTCCGATAAGGCCCAGGAATGTCAACTATGAGGACACTACGGGTCCCGACAGCATCTCTTGACACTTTGGCAATCTGTTATTGGCGGGTCATCACTCGAGACAAAAGCCACCCGGCTGCCTGGACGGAGAGGGGGTTATTTTTCTGAACCATCTGGTTGGGGCAGAAGAAAGAACGTCTGTGAGTCTGTTGGATTGCTGTGCAATAAGCATGACAGTGCCGCATCTGTGTCACGAGATTTAAACGTGATATTATCATGAAAGGTAGCGGTTTTGTATTTAACGTGTCGGCTTTAAGGAAGACGTGATGGAGGGCAACTTTCTGGATGCCTGACCAAAGATCCGATATCCGTCGTCACATCGATTTGGCAGCACAAAGCACATGTGGGAGGCAGATTGAAAACATTTCCTCTTTTATTTAATCTACCAACACAACACTGACCACATGTTACAAAAAGATGTTTAAATAAATCTGCAAAATCTGGAATGCAATGAGGTAAAAGCAGAGTCATCAAAGGCACATTTCTCCAGGGTTATTATGTTAACTTCTAGGTTTGATGCCCAACTTCCAAACACCATTGTACTTCTGTTGCAGTGAGAACAGAGCAGCTTTCCTCAGGAGAGCTGCTCTACGTACACACACAATAAATCATACAGGTTTAGTACGTTAATAAACATGTCAATCATAGTTTTACAAGTTGCAGATACGCTTTATTTTCCCGCCACACGTACCATTTTAATACAAAGCTGGAAGTTATGAAATATGTGTTCACACGGATAACTCGGTGGAATCGTTTCATGCTTCATATCCAGCTCCATTTCTTTTTCTTTCCCCCAAAGCCACATTGATGAGAAACAGAAACCGGCTGGCTTCTTAGAAATAATGTAACTTGTCTACAAATCTCTGTCTTAGGGTCAGAGGTTGTGACCAGTCGGGTAAGTTTAGCAATGTTCGACGTTGAAACGGGCTGCAATGTCAGAGCCAGGAGCAACTCCCTCCCTACGTCCCCCCGGACGTCCCCCAAGGGGCTTCATTTTGTCACTGACTGCGTGTTCGCTTCATCTGCCATGTTGGGTTCTGTGTCACGTGACTTGTGTACCACGTGAGTTGGGGAGGAGTGCGGATGTGGTTAGAGATTGTCGCGTCACGGCGTACATTAGAAAAACAACAACGTAGTCTCTGTGCCGTCGAGTTGGTGGAGTCTTTTCTGTTGACGCGCTGTTCTTTTGCGGGGACGCCAGAGGAGGGATCACAGAACGCTAACAAAGACTTTTCTTGCCACGCCTTAAAGCCTTAGCTTGGTTTTATTTAAAGGTACTAATGAAACATCTTGTTGTATTGATGATAACTTGAACGATTATGATGTTAAGTGATGCACTAAGTGAGAAGGGTAATCTTTCCATAGATCTGACTTCTTGTTACTACCTGAGGAGCCGTTTGAGACACTGCAGGTTTAAAGTTTCCCAAATTAGGTACGACGACGATCTGAGCCGCTGAGTGGCAGAAAGGAGCACTTCTGGCGGTGCGGAGTCGCCCTGAGTGATCACTGCAGCCCGTTGAGCGGCTGCCTTCTGCAGCGTTGCCTCCAAAGGAAAATAAAAGAAATGCTGCCCCCATTAGTCACTTACACACACGACAATAATAGAGCGAAGAAATACTGATGCAGCCGTTAAAAAGCTTTTATAATGTCCTTTAGTTAGAGATGGGGTTCAGCAATATGAAATCTGCCCTCATTCTTAGTGTGACATCAGCTTAATATAAGCATTACATCTTGGTAAATATGGACGGATCATGACGTGGTACTTCATCACCACACGCTACAAGATGCGGTTTGTTTCTGTGTATTTTAAAAAACGCGCATTATTACGTGTATATGCACACGTGCATTCTATTCGCCCACGTGCACACAGCTGTAATTGTTATATATCACTAATAATATGGTTCAGCATTAATATCCTTGTTGTTCTATTCAGCAGAGGTAAGGTGATCACTTACAAGCTGAACCTTGGCAGGTACTAGTCGTTTCCCAGCCAATAACAAATGCAAATGGATCTCAGTCCAGAATCTGACCCAGAAAAAGCTCACATGTTGAACTCTAATAATAATCACACTGTCAAGGCAGCAAAGACTGCAAGTGACCCTTGTAACTATTACCAGCTCAGCCAGCTGAATTTCAAGGTCACTTTAAAACTGAGCATGTGTTACACTCTTGGTACAAAAATCTATTTCACCTCACTTTGGATATTGTATACAGTATAACAAAAATAATAGAAAAAAACCCCACAATACACAATACAATGGTAATATTCATGGGCTGCGTTTTGCGAGGAACATATTGATAAGAAAAAGCAGAATTTCCTCACAGGGCACCAGATTCTCTGCTGCGAGAGTCAGTGCTGCTCTGTCATAGCTGCTTTCCCTTCAGGAGAGTTCAAGTCCTCTGTGTTATTACAGCGCAGCTTCCCGGGACAACGGAAAAGTTGTGGTTTGACGTGCTTGAATTCTTACTGCGGGGCCCTGATGTGCACACATTCTGATCCCTTTTTTTTTCCTTAAATAACGTCAAGTTTGTGAGTCTGTTTGGGAACCGAAAGGGTTTATCTGGCGCTCTGCGGTTCGTCCTCCCGGCTGGCGTTCACACCGCTGAGGGGAAAGGTCGCGAGGCGGCGCAGCAGTCGCTCTGAAGCGGAACCAGATTGCATAAAAGACATTCATTGGACGACTCTCAGGGCGGGCGAAAATGAGATGAGACGAGAGGATAAAATCGGGAGCGTCCCTGTGACGTGCTACACAGTTGAAAAGGTCTAGGAGAAGTCCAGCGGGCGGATCATCATGGCCGTGGCGCGTAGCGAGTAGCTGGGCCCCTTGAAGTAGTGCCACTTGATACCGTTCAACTTCCCTATGTGTTGCCCTTGGGTGAAGTACATGCCGTTGAGGTTGGACGGGCCGCACGCATCAAACCACCAACCTTTAAAGAGAACAAGGGAAAAATGAAATGTTAGTTGCAAAGCAGCGACGTCTGTTAGCAGAAGAAACCGGGCTTTTTAGGAAGGCGTTGAAGAGGTCACCTCTATTCGAGGTTTTTGTCCTTGGTAAAGGTTGACAGCTCCTCATGTCCTTTGCCACAGGGACATGGCAATGCTTCAGACACCATTACACTGCTATCTGCTCCATGTGTTACTGTCACTGGGCTCAGTGGCATGCCGGTACCTGTTGCTGGACACTTCCAGTACCTCTTTCTATTTAAAGCAAAGGTGCACGTGCACGAGTTCTAGTTGGACACCAGAGTGGTGAACAGCATTGGACACTTTCATTCCACTCCCAAGGGGACAAAAGCTCATAATTTCCCTGATGCATATCTGCTGCTTAGAAGAAGCGTACGTGTTTGGACTCAATTTGGCTTCCTGTCTCTTTCAGAATTAGCAACTTTAGAAGGGTGTGAATGGTTTAGCACAACCAAAGTTATATTGCTTGTTTCTCAATCCACCTGCTGGTCATTGAAGTAGTTAAGACTCAGGAAATTAGGCTAGATATCATTTACCATGCAAGCACTGTAAATATACATGTATGTTTATCCATTCCCCGATCATAATCATCTCCTTTTACTGAACTAGTGAACATGGCCTCGCGGATACGGGTCCGATATAGAACATATGTGAGGCATGGCATGTGTCAGTCACACGGGGACAAATGGCAGCTCCTCTCTCTCCGGTCGGATCTGAATACCACCGCGTTCCGCACTCTGACATTTCACGAGAGCTGTCAGTAATCAGGAGCAGTGTTCTGCCCCTCGTTGCTGGCGTGGATCGCACAAGATATGAACTTGAGATTAATTGCTGCTTCATCATGAGACACGGACACGGCACAGCTGGGAAACTGGTGGACACCTCCTTGCATTTCCACAGCTCATTTTCAGTATGTGCAGTGTGAACCGAATACAAACTTGCACTTGCACTGCTATAATTTCTTGCACTTTGTGAAGAATCCACAGGGAAATTGTTGCCCCATTTCCCGTCGGCTCCACAGGACGGCTGCGAGGTTTCATGAGAGTCAGGCCTCAGCAGGCAGCTGTTTTCAGCAGCAAGCTCCAAACCCGAATGACCTCCGCCGACAAACCCTGCATGTTGACCAACATCCGTTTCTGTTCACCACTTCCTTTTATACTGTTAAAATAAGCATTTGATTCCGCAGTAAATGTCTAAGAATGTGTTCAGCGCCGTTTGGTCATACTTCATACAGTCTAGATCAGGAGACAATTATTAACATGGGCACACACATCCATCTAGACTCTAGGTGGATGTGTGTGCCTACTTCTCAAACCATTTCCTCCAAGCAAGCAATTGAGACATCGCGTTGAAGAGAATGGGCTGATTGCACAAAGGGATGAACAGCTAGGGGGTGGAGACCAAAACCGAGCTAAATGGTGACTGAATATTGGACTAAATGTGGAAATAAGCGTTACGTTTGAACATTTGTTGTGTTCATGAAAGCAGCTTTAAATTGGAAACGACTGCGAGACACTAAATCCCCCAAAAAGAGGTGTGGTCCACACACACCTGCCACAAATGGAAGGAAAACGGTTGAAAGAGCGAGCAGAAAAGCTCGCAGTAATCTCCTGCAGGTGATGCAACGTTGGGATGGGGGTTGGCTGGTATAATATTTTCCCCTTAAACTACAAAGCTGACATTTTAAAATGTCTCCTACTTCTCATCCCTTGCTCGTTGATAAAGTGCAGACCACACAACCGCCATCACGCACATAAATATTGGGGGGAAGTCGACAGCAGTTGGTTCTCATGATAGAGGGATCCCCCCCCTGCCTCCTACTGTCAGTGCGTTATCCCTGCCGTACATTCTGGTGTTATGTAAATATATACACTGGAGTCCGTGTACCCACAGTAGATCCTCCCGCGTCGGCACAACACGGAATACTACAGCAGAGAGTTTTTTTCCTCTTGCATATTTCAGACACTTACATCAGTGGATGTCGGCCGCGCTCTTATGAATGCAGTGGAGTAAATCAGATGATCTACTGCGCATGTTGCAGCACGGTGCTGGGTCCGGACCAGCCTCGACTCGGGCTATATGTTGTCATGCCTCTCCTTTGTGGCCCGACCGCAGGCAGCCCATGAATCAAGCAGACAGGGGTGTTGATTGGTGATCAGATGCCAGGTCCCTTTAACTCGCCGCATGCACAATGACCTAAGAGGCAATGCTGATCCTAAATCTGCACTTAAGAAACGCCTGATTAGTACCAGGTCGGGATTCCACAGCGGTAGAGCTGCCATGAGGCGACAGCGGGGGGGTCACCGGGCTCCACTTACACAGCAGGAGAAGCAGAGTCATGTTAGATCTCACCCACACTTGGTGCCGCGCCCAACGATTTTTATAATGTGCGTGTTTCCAACCACGGTGAAAGTGGGAAGAAATGTGGAGTCCAGCCCCGATAGGTGCAGACAGATGCATAAGAGGATATGTTAGCCCATTGCAGGTTGCAATCATAACAACCTCAACTAATGACCAGGCAAGGAACATTGTGGGGTTCGTCAGAATGCAAATTAGAGAAAAGGGCATTTTGGAATGATCCTATCATGTCATTGTTTCTCTCAAAAAAGCATAGATACACCAACCCTTTAATGATCATATGGGTTCATTGCATCTTTTTTTGTTTTTTCCAAAGGTTTATATGGGTAATTATAACATTCTTCTCAAGTTCATAGCTGAGATCGGAGAGGGAGGCTGATGGTAGTAACAGGAGCTCTTAAACAAACCTTCGCTAACCCTATTCAGAAGGGTGCGGCAAACGGATCTTTCATGAATTCAAACACTGCCAGGTTTGGGTTTAGAGATGTCTTCTTTCATTTGAAAAGTACCCTGATGCTGTTGTTATTACGAACCTTTCTGAGCCGTTCTTGTATTGTATTGTAGCCGTCAGTCACTTCAACACGGTGCATTGGCGTCTGTAACCTCTCAATTGTGCTGTAGGCCTGTGTCGGCTTCATTGAGTATGCCCTCCCACCCCCCCGGTCCGCTAGTTCTGAATTGTCTCTCACATACGAGGTTACAGTACGTCAACGCCGTGCCAACAGCTTGTTCTGCTGTAGGTTTTTAGCAGCCTTAAAAAAACCTTTATCAACTTTGAGCTACTGTCCGTGTCTCAGACCGACCGGGAGGTGACTGTGATGCACAGGTGGTCCCCTGTTTGCTGGATGAGGGCTTATCCGCTGTGTAAAGCATCGCTTGGCTGCACTCACCACCGGTGAGCATGAGGGCACATTTGCACATGCAGTTGTCGTTGTCCATGTCCTTGGTGCTGAAGTCGGCTCCGTGGATCACTAGACTGCTCTGTCTGCCCGCCGTCCCACTGTGGCTTTTCAGGAACAGTCTGAAGGACACAGGGAGAAGGAGGAAGAGGAGCAGTCAGGATATGAAAGCACATCACAGCAGTGTAAGCAATAGAGACAGCAAGAAGACATAACACGCGGCAAGAAATGTCTCCCGGGACATATTTATTTTTTGTTGTGATTGACTACGCACCTGGCACAACATTAACAAAATAAAGAATGAATGAAAGAGAGAGAGAGAGGAGGGGGGGGGGGGACAGCGAGAGGAAAGACGCATGTCGTGGGAGGAATGTCTGGGAATCACATTTCCATCCGCGGGTCGACAGTACGTTAATTTACACCCCAAACACACCTTCAGCAGTCAAAAAGCAATAAGCAACCTGTTAAACATATTATCCGTCCTCATGGGGCGGGTGGGACAAACTCTCAAGTCTTTAGTATCCAACCATGCAATAAATCTCCGTCTCGTCTTTTTGTGTGTGTGTGTGTGTGTGTGTGTGTGTGTGTGTGTGTGTGGTGTCAAAGTACACAGCTGCCGGGTTTTTTCCTCTTTTCATGATACATTCTAATCAACTGCTCAAAAACTACTTCGTTCTTGATGCAAGCCTTTATGTCCTGAAATTAAACACATTTCATTTGATGTTTTTTTTAAATTATTTTTGTATTTTATCTCTATTGAAGTATAGCTAATAATATCATAACATATTCGAAAGATTTTAAACAAAGAAAGCAAGCATGCAATAAGTACATAATGTGCAGAGGCTACGTTATGTCCTTGTTAGGAAGTAATATATTTAATACATTTACCGTAAACGTCCCCACAAATACAGTGGTACGGTGGGACAGGAAAAGATGGATGAATGTTCTTGTGTTTCTGTAGGTGTCACTATTGTGTGCAGGTTATGTTCCTCTGCGTTTAATGCACACTGAACATATCGTGTGATGCTGTGAACAGCTGTTGAGCATCACCAGGAAATAATCCGTCAGATAAGAGGGAGGACAAGATAATCAGTATTAAAATCTCTTGCTGTCCGTTTGCACTGAAGATCACAACAATGAAGTTGTAAATCCATGGGATTTATGAAGTGAATTCCTTCACACACAGATTAGAAACTAATAGACAGCCTGGGAGCACAAGGCGTGTCCCACTGTGTGTTTCTTTTCTCCTCATGTCCTTTGTCTCTCTCACGCTCGCTCGCTTTCGACTTTTTCCCACTAGAACAGATCGCACATCCAAAGAGGAGGAGCGCCGACGAGATCTCCATCGCTGCATCACTAGTTCTCTACCTGACAACAGGGGACCAGGCGTCTAGTGAACCGTGCCCTCTTTCCAACAACGGGGGAAAAAAGTGCAGTGTTTGTGGCGTAGAAAGACCTCTGGCTTTTGTGCAGCTCGATGCTCTGAAAACAGCATGAACACCTCAAAGAGAGAGAGAGAGAAAGCCGCTTAACGTGAAAGGACTTCTGTATTTGGACAGCTGTGTAAATGGCTGATTTGTACGGCGGGTCATCGCGGGGAATCCACTAAGCCGGCAAACCGATGCGTGTAATCCGACAACGCGGAGGGTGAATCATGTGACCAATCAGGGGCCCTTGAGGGCCCGCGAGTACAAGCACTCGGGCGCGAGCATGAAGGCGCAGGTCCCTGTGCGGCTCCGGAGACGCTTCCCAGGTTAGCGGCGCGCCGCACGGCCGTGTTCGCGGGAAACGGGAATTCTACGTGGGGATCAATTGCTGATTGGGAGGAGCAACGCATGCCGCGTCGGGGACGGGGGGCCTGCTGTCACGTCGTCAGCGTGACACACTGGCTTGAAGTAGTCTGCGCCGGTGTTTACCGACTGCTCTGCGTGTTTACCGAGAGACGCCCGTCTGCCAGAGCGAGAGAGAAATAAGGGATGGTTTAATCGTGTCAGGGAAATGGAGCACGGGGAAAAATAACTCAAACTCAACCGGCAGCGCACGCCAACCTGAATGTTGCTGTTTGAGTAACTCGGTAATGCGATTGGCCGAGGCTCAGCGGCAAGCAAAACATTGAGCTGCGAGGGGAGTCGGCGTGTTTCACTCCATGACACCTCTTTGCAGAGGACGGTGTCCCGCCATCTAATTATTCTAAAACCCGCCGGGGACGCCGGCCTGTTTGCGGTCCTGCGACGAACGTGGAACGTGATACGGCAGCAGTGCGGATGTCGGAGCCCAGATCAGTTCCGCCACACGGCGGGAAACGCCTGGTGGGCTCTGGCCTGGCGTGGCCTTTGGGATCTCCCCCAGCCTACTGGAACCTGTAGGTTTACTGGACTCGTAAAAAAGAACGACAGCTAACCCCAGCGAGCCTCCCCGCTCCCAAAGAAAACGCTATTCAGAGGCAAACGCCATTTGTTTGTGCGACTGAGGAAAAAAAAGAGGCGTCGATCCGCAGTGGAATGCGCCGCCGAGTCGGGTCGTAGCTGCGATGCTATTTGCACATATAGAATCAAGCTAATATGCTTCCAAAATGAGAGCGACCCCGAAGTCGGGTTCAGCTTGATGCTGCATCACAGCTGCGCACTGTGTGTGTTGGGAAATGCGTGTTGGGGGGTCAGCGAAGGATTCAGAGGAATCTGATATGTTGGTGTGAGAGCTCTTCCAAGTAAATCTCAGCTACATTCTAGCACACTGTATCTTCACACACATTAACGCTATCAAAACATTTTTTAAAGTTTACAGGCATATCTTTTGTAAAAAGCATTTCAACTGGGTCGGATGTTGGGTCTGGCATCTCGTGTAGAACGTATGGAATTCGTCTGATGGAGGAGGTGGTCCCACCAGAAGGTCTCGCTGTCCCTCCTCGCAGAGGAGCAGGTGTTGGATCACTGGGCTCGGCTCAGGTGGGCCGACGCGCCGCTTGTTCGCGGGTTAACGTCCATCTGACACCTCCCGCGTTACTCTGAGCCGAGGATACTGCCGTCATACAGCATACAAGAACGTCTCTGGGAGGCTTACGGGGGAAAAGCCCTGAGACAATGCGTCTCGTGGAACGCGTGCGTGCACAAAGTTCAACAGATCAGATCAAATGCACAAACGGGGCGAGTGATCCGCTTTTCCTTCATGTCCAGACGCAAAGGCAACAACCCAAGTCAGCTGCAGGTCCGGCTCGTGCTGACACGCACCTGGCAGCCGTTAGCCCCCCCCCCGAGCTGCAGGCCGATCGGCCCATTGCAAAGGTTAACGACGGCGACCGAAGGTCCGCGTCCTACGGCGAGGCCCCCGAGGTGTCTGCGTGGCCCGAGACGCGCTCCACTGCTCTCCTGCCGCTGGCCGACGTAGAGTATCGAACCACAGCATGTGTTGTATGCAGGATTTTCTTCAAGTATTCATTAAAAGAATATTAGGAACAGGAACGGGACAGGAGGGCTCTGCAGCGGGTGATTAAAGAACCACCCCGAGCATCATTGGTGGACATCTACCGAGCATCCGTGAGAAGACTCCTCCTGCTGCTACCGTCTGGAAAGCGTTACAGCTTGAAAGCTTGAACAAATGAAATAGTTCTTCTTTTTTGTTTTCCTGATATTTTACAAAATAGTATGACCAACATGCGGTGGTAAAGGTTGTGGAAGGAACTTTGAGCTGAGATGGTTTTAGTTGGGATCACTTATTGGATTTCAGCTCCTTCCATCACGCTTTATTGGGTATTCAGCTGAATTCAAGAAGGTGCATTAACACCGTAAACCACCGTACACCAAGAGAGACTCGGCTACTTTGATTTAAGATCCACTCTAAACACAACGGGTTCTTCATGGTTTGGCTGATCCTGCAGCTGAGATGTTTCACTTCTGAAGGAATAAAAACTGTGGAACCCGAAGCTTTCAGGGATGCTGTTCAAGAAACAACTCGAGATTTTACAGATTATCTCAGTGTGAGTTTGGGAAAATAAGAGTCCTCGTGTTTTGGAACACAAATAACTGCCAATTTCTTTACTCATTCCTCACTTGACAAAACATCTGAATGAGATCTGATTCCAAATTGGGCAATTACCATGTGAAGAAATCACTGGATTTAAGAACTTGGCTGTTCAAACACGATATCGAATAAAAGATGTAATGGATTGGTTAAAAACAAACACATGTCATTTTCTTACAGCGGAGGGGGGGGGGCTGTAACTCTACATACAATCTTAACCTCAACTTGTGTCTGTGCATATATTCAACGTACTGTATACCTCTGAATATTAATATAATATCTAATATAATAATGATTGGTGCCCAGGGTACTTCACTACGTCTCTTCATTCTACAGGATTCATTAGACAAACATTTCCCCTGTTTGTGCATGAACGGTTACAAATATTGCGTCCTGCTCGACAATGAAATAGTTTCAACGTGTTACATATTGCTTCACTTAAAAAAAAAAGAGAGAAATATGTGAATGCACTTTTTTTATGCCTGATTAATGACTTGGCCATAAGCAAACCATTTTTATGAGTTTATTACTATGCAGTTTGTCTGCCTTTATATTACTTTATACGCATGAGGGCTCAAACTCTTTTTAGAGTTTCTTTGTCTACTTTCTATTTCTCTCTAAAGAGAAAATGAAACCCTTATGATTTCATAGCCACAGTAAATTAACGTTTTATTTCAGGGCAAACTCTCTAGAAACAAGATCAAGTCAACTACTAGAACATGTACTCTACTCCTCCTAGAGGTTAACCAACATGCACATACTTTACATGCACTTACTTTATTACCAACTGTGTGCTGTTTCCTAACATTTATTTCCTTTGTATCTGTGATTTTCAAATATACTTATTCTTTATTCTTGCTTTTATTGCAACTCAAAGTTTTTTACTGGAATTAATAACAATATAAACCACTATAATGTGTAAGAAGGCTATGAAAGATCATCTGAACCTAAGAGACAATTTAATCTTTGATATTTATCTACAAAGTCTGAGGTTAAAATATGTATTTTAGAAACAAAAACAACTCTAGCTATAAATCCTCAACTTCAGCAATCACTGTTAATCTGCATGAAGTTGTTTATTTAAGCCGGCATTGTGGACCATTCTGTTCACTTTGTTTTCTTTTCTTGTTACATGATTTATTTTTCTGCAACACACAATTTCTCCATTCTGTGCCATAATTTCCCTCGGACTCTATTTAACTCTGGTTTCTCTAATTAGCTCTTGTCTCTCTTGTTATTTTGCTTTCATAAAGGCGGACTTTTTTCCCTCTTCTTTTCACATTGATATGCAGCACAAGGCCCATTTTTAAAGCAAGGGAACTTTGATAAATGAGGGTGATTAACTGAATGTGTTGATCTGATGGCTATCATTAAAACAATTTGCAGGTCATCAAATTACATTTGATGTCATTATTTTCTTTTCAGCAACACATACTGCATCTCAGCAACCAAAATAGATTTGATGATTGGGGACTTTTTGTGTTGTTTATAAAATACAGTAACCTTTGCAATTATGGTGACCCCGGTCACAAAGAAAAAATAAATCTAGTTTCAGAATATGATGTGGTTTTGGTTCAGTGGGAGCTTTTAAGTGCTGGTCAGCCCTAAAGGTCCAACTCAGCCTTGTCCACAGTTTGTCTGTTCAATATTGCTGATGTCAGCTGACACAGTGGATATTTAGGCATCGATGAAAGATGGTACGGTGCTTTTTCTGTTCTTCAAATTACATTGAGGAAGAAAAGGTGCATACATATGATTTATTTCCATTAATATCTATTTTAATTTTCTTACAATAGATTGTTTGGAGGAGGTTAACCCTGTTGGACAGCTCAAACTTATTTTAATTTGCTGGGTCAACTCTGACGACAACTTTGCTCTTTTGAAAAAGGGAAAAATCATCATATTGACTGAGAATTCATTATTTATCGGGACATCATTAAATTGAGGGGAAACTGTTCATGATCACTGAATTATCTCTTTTCTTTTTTAGATATCAGAAATAATTAGAAATAGATGACTGACTACAATTCAATGGCAAGCCGATACGTAAAGCACTTTGGTAATAAATATTTTATTAAGATGACTTCATTTATGAAGCATTACAACTAAAAGGAATAATTGCACACCTTCCACCTCTCTCCGAAAGCCATTTCCGTTTTTACAGTATAAAGATGAAACACAGACGTTGGCCGCGAGACAAACCGTTCCTGGCAATTCTCAATATTGTTAATAATAAATCAACTGAGACGATTCAATCATTCTACTCGGTTTCCAAGTGGTCCGTTCACCTGGTTTATGTGCTTTCCTTCGTACCGCCAGAGTGTGTGAGACGGAGAGCAAGCGGCACGATTTACGACACCAAAACGCTTCTCTGACGCGCGCTGACGCAGGCCGTGTTCCTCTAAACCCCCACGGACGACGAGACAATCCGACCGGCTGACGGGCGCATCACGCGCAGCTCTCTTGTGATTTTAAACAACATGCGCACGCAGGTCGGTTCCAAAGCAGAAAACAGGGAACAGTTGGTTTGTTGTGGTGCTTCAGAGGAGCAGCGTGGGATTATCATAGCACAACTATTCGTCTAGAACAAATCTATTAATAGAGATCAGTGTGTTGACTGGACTTCTCGTACGCTCAGTATGATCCTGCAAGGTAAAGCAGGCTGTAGTCTCCAGGGAGGCCCTCTGCCCGCCGTAGTGGGGCCAAAACAATTGTTTCCCTAAATTCAAAGAACAGAAGGTCAAGAATAGGATGCTAAAAATATGTTGGAAATACCAGACTTCACACATCAGTGGGCCTTAGTTCTGAGGTCTGTGCCTTAAGGACCACAGTCAGAAGTAAAGGCTAAAGCTGCAGTAATAAGAGATGATTCCACCGCGGTCTCACATCGTGGTCCCACAGAACCTCAACTCGCCGTTAAATGCAGAACAATCTGCTCGTCTATTTCTAGAACCCGAAGCCCCTCCAGGTACGAGCTCCTGCTAACAGAAACATGGTAAAGTGAAACCCCCGTCATCGCGAGGCCATTTGAAAAACTCGACATGGCAGTTTTTCAAATGACCCCCCCCGCCGCTGTAAATAACCGCCTGCGTGCGAGGATTGGAAGGGTCGAAAGAAAAGAATTTCAAGCCACAGAATCTCGATCCTCATTTCGTCATTCATGGCTGGACAAAAGACGTTTCGCAAACTAAAGGGATATCGGAGAGGAAGAGCCAGCCGATCCCGGGAAAACTGCACAATTGGAGATGTCGGACCTTCTCCCGAGAAGCCAGCAATTGCTCGGAAGTCTGTGGAATTTGCGGTGGTTTTCCACGTCAGGCCGGGCCAAGCAGCTGCCATAGTTTGAGGCCTGTTATCATTAACCCCCCGCAAAAGAAAATAGAAACCTTCGCCCCCGCAACACGAAGGACAAAGCGTCAATCAAAGCAAACGAGGAGACGATGACAAGCGATAGATTTGGTTTGGAAGGAATTTGGGATGAAAAAGTCCTCGCCGCAGACTTACATAACCGAATGGACGTGATTGAAGCGTCTGCAGAGCTCACAGTTGGTAGCCATGTTTATAATATCAACACTTTGAAACATTAAGTAATGTGTCCTTATACGCTTTCTTTCCTCCTCCCAGGGGCTCTAGATTAAAGGCTCCATAAAAGTGATCCCCTCGGTTAATATAATAAGTATATTAAAGTACCACGCGTAATGCCAAATTCAGTCAATATTTTATTCTGTACCAACTCTGCCTTCGGCAGGTTGGTTCAATTATTTGTGAATGTATGCATTTATTCAAATATAGGCCTAAAGTCTGCCTCACATGACCATGTGAAGAAGCTTAAACCAAACGTCGACATGTGATACACGTAGAATACAAAGCCTGAAACCCCCCCGCTGGTCGAATGCAATGTGGAGTGATGCTGCAAATTGATGACAGTCGTTAACGTAGGCTAAATGCTACATAAAAGTTATGTGTATTAATGTACAAAGCAGCGTCCTGAGAAGTTCATTGTCTATATTTTTGAAACACAACGAAATATCAAGGACCTTTTAACCATCTGTTACGACACCGATCTAATGACGATCCACAGAGAATTGCCCCCGGCGTTTTTCACGATTCAAAATGGCAGAAAGAGTTTGTGGTTGGAGTTCAAGGGACTGATTGACTAAACATGTGGGTTGAATGTAAGGAAATGGGACATACGAGGTGAGGACTGTGGCTTTTGAAACTTACAGCTGCAGGTGGGACCCATCGAGGCATTGTTTTACAACCAAATGCAAGAGCCCTAAAATATTACATTTTTTCCCCGTATTAAAAAATTGAGTGACTTTTTCCGCATGGAAAAGCCCCCAAAAGCTGCCATAGTTTCAACAAGGCTTTCGGTACTTGTGCCCATCTTTCTCCACCAGTAGCTTCACGTCTTACCTGTAGTTTTGCTTCTCCCCGCCAATTTTAAAGCGGTCGTAGAGCGAGAAGGCCTGGTGTCCGTCCCAGTCCGTCAGCTCTACACGGAGGGCGTACTGCCTCTGGTTGGTCAACTGGTGAACATACTCGTTGCCCAACCAGTGCTCTGCAGGCAAGCTGCCGAAACCCTGGAGAGAAAGGAAGAGGAACACAACGGTCAGTGCGGAAATCGTGCAAAAAGATGGAGATATTCTTCATTACACTTCATAGAATGATAACATCTCAACAGCAGAAGACTGTGGAATGGATTAGGAATGTTCAACGATTCGTATTTGGTATTCGGATATCAAAACCAGAACAAATGGTTCCTGATAAGAAATAAAACTACATTCTGCATAACTCACTTTGTATATTAATGTGTACTGTGCAAGTATTTTACACCCCCCCCCCCCTGGATGGACTCACCTACATATAAAATTGTGTCTAAATTGGTACCAGCTGAAACAGACACACACCTTTTTCCATTTCTGTCTTTGTCACAAGCCACACATGCTAAACCCATTACTACTTTGGGATTTATTTCCCCAAATACACATTCCATGCACGGGACACTCCTTCAAACAATTGCAGAAGGTTGATCTGATCAGAGCGGCTCCCGCTCACAGGCAGAGTGCTTCTGACAGCAGCGAGAGCGCAGGATTGCAGCAGGAATAATTGGGAGGGGGGGACGACAATACAGCTCTGACAGGACAGTCTGAACCGCGGCATTAAAGATCGGGGAGGAGGAGGAGGAGGAGAGGGGGGGGGGGGGGGAAGTCTGTTTGTGCTGAGCGTGGTGAGGAGGAATGGGAAGGGGGGGAAGTACATATGGGGCATTCTCAGAGCCTTACGCACGTCCTGCCGGGTCGGTGGAAGGAAAGTCACTTCGGGCTTTCTCCCCCTTGACGCTTTCTCTTTCACTTTCTCTAGAATGGATTTCTGACCGTCTTCCAGCTGCGTCCGATGCCGCCTGCTGCGAGAGCGGCTCACCTCGAGCCTGGCCTCAAACTGGGTTCAGAGGTCCGTGGGGCTCCGTAGTTGTTTCTTCATGTGGCTCCGGTTCTTCACAAAGCTGATCGCGATCGCTCAGCTCAGAGGAGATGGTTTGTCACATTGTTGGAATGAGCTCTCGGGTTTGTATTTCAGTTCCACTTGCTAAAAGCACTTTGCCGGAGGGAAAGGCAGTTGTAAACAAAGAGCCTCGGAAATCCTCCGCACCACAGAAAGAATAAATAGATATATTTTTTGGTCATTTTAATTTGTTTTCTGAAATAAATTTCTCCTAATTATGTGCACTTGTCCCACTTGACACATTTCCCTGATGGATTCCTCCACCTTAAATCTTTCACCTGCTCAAACAGGAATAGTCACAAAAACATTAAATAGCAGTTTAAATACTTGTTACTGTGTCTGTTTGATGCAGTTAGATTTGGTTTTACACATCATTATAAAAACAAACGACACGTGATAAATGTACTTCACGTCTTCATCCCAATACTCACAACGGATTGTTTTCTAGATTAAATCCTTCTCCGATCCGACCGAAAAATATTGAAATTACTTTTTTTTTCCCAACTGGCTTTTTATAATGCAGCTGAAATAAATGTCAAGTTACGACGGTCAACCTCTCCTGCTTCGGGTCCAACGACTCGCTAGCAACGAGCGACGTTAACGTGTTACAGATCCCTCTGTAAGTGTGCTAGTTAACTACATGGGGAGGTTTACAAGTGTCCCCCGAGGTGCTTGAGGAGGCTGGAAAGCGTTTTACAAGCGCCGTTTTCACATGCTGATAAGATGGAAGCGTGAGTTGTGAATATAGTTTGCGGGGTCCTCGGCCTGGTATCCTGGCAATGCGACCGCGAGCGTTAAATGGCCGTAAGATCATGTTCACATGTGCACCACATCCCCGCCTGCCAAAAGTCTCTCCGCAGTCTCACAGAGAAACAACACGTCAGTACATTAAATCTGGGAGCACGACCCCCGTGAGACCAAGAATGAGAAAATGATTAACCCAATCGAAAAACTATCGATCATCTACGGGGCTTTCGTCACTACTTGGTTCTTTCTTTTCAGGCCACATACATCTTTATTGTTTTTTTTTTAAATTTGATTTCTTTTCTTTTTACCATTCGAAACCTTTTACAAGTGTTCAGTCACACTTGAGTGCTTTCATTCAATGTAAGTTGGGGTTTTCTCTGGTCACGATGTCCCACAAACCTTCTCCACTGACGTTTGTGCGCCGAGGGCAGCGGAGACGGGGGGAAATAATTAAAAGGGGAAACAAAGAGCAGATTACCGTGGGTAGAAGGACATTCGCTTTGACAGTGGAAGGTAGGACTTAGACCGCAAACGTGATAATAAATCCAATTCACAGCTTTGCTTTGGAAACTTTAACACCCTTATTGCAAATACGCGTGGATTTCCGTCTCATGACAAACATATGACACACCTGGCACAGCGCCACGGAGACTAAACAAATGTGATGTTTGCAGATTTAGGTACTAATTTCCTGTTGGAATGGAGGAAGAATAACAGCATGTCACTGAAGCCTCGGCTGAGCACCGGGGAAAGTCTCTGACACCCTCGACAATATTGCTAGTACAACAAAGACGCTGGGAAGGAATGACATCTGGATCGGCGGATCCTGCCTCTTGGCTGTCCAATAGAGGCTGTCTGTCATAACCCGTGGTGTAGCTCTGAAGCAGGATGTTTTGCTCACCGTGCAGTTTCGTAACGGATATTTGAGGGCTTCATCTCCATTTCGGTCTGTGTGTTGACTCAATGTCTTGTGTTTAAAAAGGACCACCATCGTGTTGATTTGAGTTGATAGGGAGGAGCTGATGTGGACGTGCACAGGTTTTGCCTCGTCTCACCGTCTTGTAATCCTTCCACGTTCTCTGGAAGTCCACACTGCCGTCTTCTCTGCGCTGGATGATCGTCCATCCGCCGCCGGCTGTTTCCATGTTGCAATACACCTACACAATTGAAAGGGGAGGACAAAGGGTAGAAAAATACACGCATGAAGGTAATGGAACAATGACAGCACTCAAAGGTCTTTGCGTGAAATTCAACCTACAGGCTGATGAATTCAACATTCGACGCGACTCAGCGGAATTAACAAACAACGAAGGGTCACTTGGACAACTATTTGGTTTCAGACACTCCTTTTCCCAGCTTCAAAGATGAATCATCTTTGGGAATGCGACGTATCTTTGTCCTCCTCAGACCTAATCAGCGTCTACTTATCCCACACCAACTCCCCGGAGATGTTCCTCATCAGGCGGCCCTTGTTTCTGCAGGATCAAAGTGGAGGTCCTCGGTGTAATGTGGCCCTTAACCTTGGACCCGATTGTGTGTAAGCTGATAACGCAGGGCTGGTTCTCCGTCTGCAGCGTTGCTCTTTGTTTTGAGGAGACCCCAGCGCGGAGCGGAGAAGGTCTTTCACCTCAGCCAGCCCACACAGCTGAACACACATCAACGCCGCCTGGGTATAATTAAGGAAGTGCCCTCGACAGAGTCGTTTTCCCCAAGACGAACTTATCATTCATGTTATTCATGCTGAAACTTACTTATGTACTGACTTGGACAAATATAATGTGGGACAAACCCGACGCTGGGAGAGTGGGGGCTGGGCGGCAGGTGAAACAACTCGAACGATCGTCTAGTGTGAAGACTCGACTCACTAGCTTCCACTTCAGTCAGTCAGCTGCACGCGAACCTTCCCCCTGACGATCGGAACTTAAGATCAATAAAACAGGCGCCGGGCCGGATGTGCCTATTAAACAACGCATCGGCGTAGCGTCATGTTGAATTTCTCGTTTGTATCCAATTGAATTGCATGCTCCTTCAATACACATGGCATTTGTTTGTGGTTCTTGACCACTTTTATACGTCTCTCCCTGAATATCAACCCTTGGTCCCATTCAATCTCCATTAGCCTAGCAGCAGTTTGAGACACACACACACACACACTCTCAAACCTTGTGCAAACCTCCTACCTTATTAAATCATCAGTCCCATCAATCACGCTTATGTAAGCACGGTGTAGAGGTTGAGAACACACATGCACACACACACACTTGCACAACTGTCACCATCCTAAACAGCTCAGTGTCCAGTTTCTTTCCTCCCACCACACGCACACACACACACAGCTTAACTCATAAAGGTGCCAAGTGTATTTTCAGCCTTCAGGATTCGCCGTAAACACGCTGAGAACGCGCGACCTAGAAGTGACGAAGAGGCAACATTTTCGCATCAATCTGTAGCGTTTGGCCGTGCGATATTGTGGCTTCCCACCTTTTTGGTCTCCTGCGGGTTGATCTGGATGGTGTACACTCCGCTCTTATGGAAGCCGGCCTGGTGGAGGTCGGCGCAGTCACGGAACTTCTTCTCCTCATCCGCGACCTTTGTGCTATTAGGCACAACTGCGGGTAGGAAAGTGATAATGGAAACAGTGTTAAGCCATCTCAAGTTCTGCAAATAAATAGCGAGCGCAGGCCAATCGGCCTGCATCTGCTGGGCAACTGGGTGTTGCTTTTGCCGTCACTTCAAAGGAACAGTTTGACATTTGGGGGAAAAATGCTTGTTGACTTTCTTGCTGAGCGTAAGGAGAGAAGATCAATACAACTCTCGGACATGAGAGGCTTTGTTGCCACATGTGCCAGCTGTCCGTCAGAAACGCGAGACGAGCAATTTCAGACCGACAGGACGACAAAGCTCAGGCGCTAAAACACTTAATGTCAAATCAAGAGAAACACTTACTCCACAAGATACGGACAGAAAAAAGCACCCCTGTGCTATTAAAAAATGTACCTTCAACCCTGCAAGCGCCCAGGTGTCAGACAAGTATGGAAATCACAGCTCGTCATGTTTTTTTTAAGTCAGAAATTGCAAACACCGGCTCAATTTATCTTCTAACATCTGTACATTTGCACACCACCGAGGCAGAAGCCGATCGGCGAGGTCTCACTGCGGGTATCTTGTAACGGACAGATACAATCTGAGGGCGACTAACTTAAGAGAGAAGCAGTTCATCCACAGGATGATCCCCGCTCCGACAGAAAGGCCTCGGACCAGCTGCATCCATTTCCATCTGTAGATGATTATGGCGACACTATTTTGAAACCAAGCAAGGGGCTAAGGACAAAATACTACAAGCTATAAATTTCAAGTTCCTGTTATAACAAGTGGTTTGTATTTACCTACCAAGCACTAGTCATATTGATGGAAATTCCTTCCGATTTTCTCTTTTCTCTCTCTCTCTCTCTTGCTTTCCTTCTCCATTTTTCCTCCCATACGCTGGCTTCATCGAAGTTTTCACACCAAGAAGATGTCAGGGAAAAACTGAATTCGCCCCCCCCCCCCCTGAACGGGGACCGCCTCGGTTTTTCGGCCCGGCGCCACTTTGGGTGTTCTATCCCGGCATTTTGACAAAGTATTGAGTGTCAGCGACAAGAACCTCCTGCTGTGGCAGGGTGACGGAGTGGGCCCTCGCGCCCCGGACTCTAATACAACAAAGAGCGGCCCTGTCGGGGCGGTAATTTACCCCCAGGCGGCAGACAGCGGGCCACATTTTAGAGGCTCTCTGGGTATTCAAGCCGTAGCAGCGCGGACAATCATTGCTCAATCGCCCCGGGGAGCCCCCCCCCCCCCCCCACGTGGAAAAAAGATGCCCTCCGAAAGGACCCGCGCTCGAGGCGCTGAAACGCTTCCCTTGAAAAGCGGTGCTTGCCCAGCTCTTGCAATAATATTTTATGTCCCGATATTTTATTTACAGAAAAATATTTTGTGGTTCAGCGGGGACTCGTATGCGGTAGGGGGTTCATGTGAAAGGAGCAGCAGGGCTCGGGTGTTTGCATAAATCAGTGCCCTTGCCAAATGAGCCCAAATGCTCGGACTGAAGAGAGCGAGTAATGGAGCTAAATGGACTGCCGTAGACATCACTGCTCCCATGTGACTATAATCAGTCTCTAAATGCCGCTGAGGGTTTAAGTGATTCCATTCCAAGCTCCAATGAGTTCCTCTGCTGTGTTCATATATAAAGGATGCAAAGCACAATGAAATAACACCAGTTCATTCCCACAGTACACATGTCAACACTGATCAGGAGCCCTTGTTGTGAAGCAATAGTCGTACGTCTCTTGGTAATGTGTTAGATTCATCAGATTCCGGTTATGTTCGTTCAATAATAGAAATCCCAATTATACTACGCTGCCGATGTGAATTATAACGCGTACAACCACTTTTAGAGAATACTAATACTAACATTTAGTTGGAATCATGAGAAGGAAAGACCATGGGAAAGTTGAAAAAGTCAACACTGAGATGAAGGGGCATATGCTTCTTTTGAAGTGCAATTAGCAAAGCAAATAAATAGAAAATATAACATTTCCTGCACCACCGTTTCCTTTCTGGTAAAACTGTATATTCCCCATAGGCTTTAGCAACGATTAAAACAAAGGCATATCAACTTTGTCAAAAGACTAAGTGAGTTGAATTTAGAAAACCTCCTGTATAAGTCTTACTTACTGGGATTTCTATCTACTGCCTTATTAAATCGCCCCGTAACACACTACTCCATTTAAGGGTTTCAACGGACATGTGTGCCAACGCAACATAATAAAAAAAGTCTAGTTCCTTCTGAGAAAATAAAGGTTTGGGGAAGGTCACCGAGGTGAGTCGCACTAACTGCCCGCTTCACAGCGTCTCTGCAACAATAAGTGTCAACTCACTCCGCTGGTCGCTCAAGCACCAAAGAATTCGCTCTGCACGGTAAAGTGGCGTCTGATGACGTGATGGAACATACTGTCTCGTCGAGGCGTTACATGCAGGCTTTCAAAAGCTTTTTGGAGTGGAGAAATAATTCCACTTTTGTTTGACTCTCACCGAGTAAGCAGCTGTAAAAATGATAAACGCCATTAATTAAAATTAAAGTGGGATAATAGAAAACTGTTGAGCAAAATCATATTTAGCGGCGAGACATTTCGAACGAGGGTTCCAAAGCTGATGTCAATTACCGTTAATGGCGGCGCGGGGCTCATTGCACCCTAATGAGGTTTGGGTAATGACGACGACCTAAACAAGAGCTGCCCTGTCGCATCTGGCCACATCAAACGGGTCTCGGTCTGCACCGCAACTGCTCCGAGCACCCTGGGAGCCTTCATTTTAGGGACAGCCATACATGAAAAAGAAGGTTCATGGAGATTTAGTTGAAAACTCCCCGTTTTCTAAGTATTTGTAATCTTGCAAAGCTGCACAGACAGCGATGATTTGAGAGGAAACGCTCGCTAACGCAGGCAGACGCCGCTCTGTGGCATCGCTAAACCCTTTCCTCAAATCCAAACACTAATCCATCTCTCAAACAAACAACACCCCCCCCACACCGAATCTTGAAAAGAGAGCCGCGCTGCTTCTACGTTTGTTGGGGGGAAAAACGGGGGGGGGGGGGGGGGGGGGGGTTACACAAAATCTCTCTCCCTCTTTGGGGCCCCCCAGAGGCTTGCCCCGGGTTGCTTTATTCCGGCGGGGGGGGAGAAAAGGGGAGAACTCTTAACCCCCCCCGCGCCCGACTCGGCCGTCACGGAGGAGGAAAGGACCAACCACAGAGCGGCGGGCCATGTTCCATTTCTATCGCCTCTCATTAAGACCGCCACCAATCACGGACAGCAGGGGCAGCAGTCCCCCCCCCCATCCCTCCTACCCCCTTGACCCCAACAACACTGGAAATGGTGTCAGAATAAAAGCTACAAAAGCAGAGAGTTGAATCTGACGTGGCTGATTACAAAGGCAGTAAACAAGAGAGAGAGAGACAGAAGTGCGGCGTGGGGACACACTTGAAGGGGGAGATGATACATAACCGCCAGTCGGGCAAAAGTGGTCTCAAAAGACCTCGGGCAGTTAAATGTAACATAAACAATTCCAGACTAAACAGACGGAGAGATGCAGAGGCCAGCCGTGACCTTTCTCGCATGGAACATTACAATTAGAAAAGGGATTAATAAGAAGCATGTGGTGTCATGTGCACTAGCGATCCACTCATGGCCGCTACATCCCTTCATATCCGGGTCGCTTCCTGTCTGCCGGGGAACCTCCAGGAGCGCTGGGGGGTCTCCGGGCGCCTCTGCAGGAAACCCACGAATGGAAATGAAGTCGCATTCGATCCCCGACCCCTCCTCCCCGAGACAGACGTTCGTGTCAAATCTCCTGTAGCGATCGGGATGTAAGGCCGACGTTAGGATCAAGTGGGTTCGCCGTTTAAAGGGCTGCGAGAGGGGTGAAGGAGTTCAAGGCGTTTGACCGAAACAAGAGGGATTGCGTTGCCGACAGGGTCAAATGTGGGCCAGGAGGGAAATCCCATGGTTCGCCTTTAACAGAAGCCAGAGTCTGGGGAATAAAATAATCCTATTATAAGCAGTCACGCTCGACGTTTCAGGGAAGCTGCGTGACTTTATGGAAAGAACTGTTTCCGCTAAAGAGGAGAGCACCACGCTGGTTCACGGGAGGCACCGCACCTCGTTAACAGCAGCACGCCGGGTTACAACTTGCGACCCGTGTTTCTTTCTCCATGGTGCTTCGCGATGATGCCGGGTTTATTACTGTGCATCGCTGCTTCTCTCAGTATGGGGGGAGGTTTATAGAACTGGTGTCCTCATGACTTCATGAGAAAGGTTAACTGCAAAACGAGTCGAGTGCCGCCCGCCTCACAGTTTAAGCCGAGATCGGCGCGTCCGCACATTCTGCTTCGCACATTGTGGTCTGGCGAGAGTCAGGAGGCTTAACTCCTGGGTGGGGGGGTCATTGCTAGTTTACGTTGTTTCAGGGCGCTCACATGGAAAGGCATGCAGGGATTTAAATATAATATTTAATTCATGTAAATGTATTTTTATAGCCCGCCCGATCGGTACCGTGCACGCGTAACTCTCATCAAAGAGTAAAAACGAGATGGTTATCCGCTCAGACACACACATGCGCGGTACCGCAGCTGGCCGAAACTGCCTTTCTCTTAGTTCCCAGGGTTTGACTGTGAGGCAGCCTACCTCCATCTTTGGAGCAGAGGTTGAGCAGGTTGTGGACGGTGTCCATCATCTCTTGCTGTTGTCTCTGCAGGGCCGTGCTGTTCCCTGTGGCCCGGCTCAGCTGGGCCTCGAGTTCCCCGATCACCCCGCTCTGCCTCCCCACCAGGGTGTGGAGGCTCCCCTTCTCCTGCTTGAGCGTCTCCAGCTCCTCGCGGTGTCGCGTCTCCATTTCCAACATCTTCTGCTCCAGCAGGCTGAGGATGAGGATGAGAGGACACAAGTTTGTCGTGGAAGTCGGAGAATTTGCTAATTAGTGAGGTCCTTGAGGGCATCCAAGAATGACTTTTGTTTTTACAGACTTAAATAGATTGGAAGTAGATTGGATATTGTTTTGCCATTTTTATTATCATAATACCAGTGACTTACTGATTATGTAACTTTTATTGGTTTACAGCATTATATACAGGGGTCAGCAGTTTACAGCCGAATGAGTCAAATTCTTCCACTTTTGACATTTCTACTTCCTGCCGTTACTTTGTCATGGACACTGGAAGGAATTACAGCCGCTGCAGGATGCTATTTCCCAGAAAGCGATGTGGCAATACAAATAGAAGCAGTGTGCATATCTACAAATAATGGTGTGTGTAAGGTTTGGTTGCTATGTGTAACACAATGTAAACACAGGAATCATCGTGCACTTTGCAGGCTCATCGGAGGTAAGTCAGTAAGCCCTTTCAGCACGTGAGAATAACCACCGGACGATCCGATGTCTGAAAGATTACGTAGGTCGACATCAAATTCATTAACTGATCACATGTTTCCCTGTGTTATAGATTCGGTAAAGGAAAAAGTACAGATGACACATACAAGATGGAATAATGTCATAATTGCTGAAGCTCGGGGGAATCGTTTTCGGTCAGAATCAGCAGGCACTGTGCTTGTAAATGGTGATTACACGGAGTCTCTGTGGACACTGCAGCGGGAGACGTGGACCAAACCCTTTTAAACACTACATCATCTTAGACGATCCCACAGCACCAATCACTGTAAAAGGCAAGATATGGAAACCATAAGTCACATCTGAATTGCTCGATTTTGCAACAAATCCACAGTGGTTGGACAAGGAAAGACGAGCCTAATCACAGAAAATACAGGCTTCCTAGTATGCTGTTGTATATACAACTGGATATTCTTTTGGAGAACGGACAGAGTAGGAGAGCTGGTAGCGAGCTTTGGATTTTGGTCACGCAATCCCACACAGCAGCATGTGTGTGTGTGTGTGTGTGTGTGTGTGTGGTTATATTTGCAGTGTTGTGTTATGTTTACCTGTTCTTGTCATGCAGCTTGCTGATCTCATTGGTCTGGACCATTAGTTCTTTCTCCAACTTGTTAGTGGAGAGAGAATTTTCCAGCAGCTGGATCTCAAGCCTGGATGTCTGATTCAGAACCTGCCACAATAAGAAACACAAACACACACACACACACATACACATATATATATATTATATAGATATACAGTAGATGATGTTAAGCTTTTGTAATTATATTTTAGTTGTAGAATTACAAGATAATATCATGCACATGTGCAACAAACCTTTTAGAGAAACCAAGAAACACAACGCTGTTTTTAAGCCTTAGAGTTCAAATATAAACCGTCAAGTTTGTTTTCATTTTGTCAAGTGTTCACCCAAACACATGTTAATACTTAGGAGATATTCATCTGTGCTATGATTACCTACTTTTTTAAACTTTGCAAACAGTTATCTTTTTAGTGCTGCAGCTAAAATTGCCTGCCACTCTTTCCGTCCCCTCCTCGTCAGACTCCTCCACATAAACACTAAAAAGAACCTCAGCCGAATAACTTAAACAAGGGATCTGTATTCATGCAACACCGGTGTTGTCTTTGGCCACAGCTCTGTGACCTGGTTGGGGCAGCGGAACGAGGAGCGGTGGAGTTAACGGCGCACCCAAGACGGACCCTCTCGGTGTTTGATACGAGTGCCTTAGAGAGGGCGCGGGCGCGGCGCGCGTTTTTTACCTGCGTCTCGACGTTCGTTAGCTTGCGCGTCTGTTCGGCCGTCTGGGAAAGGAGGTTGGTGCCCATTTCCAACATGGCTGCTGTGTGGTTGTGCACGGCGGTCTGCTGCAGCTGAGCCATCTCCGTCTTCATGCTCTCTTTGATGTAGTTCTCAATCTGCACCCAGCAAAGAGGAAACAGGTTTGAGAGATCACGGACGTACGGAGCGGGACACCACAGCATGTTATAAGGATGTTCATATTTCGCATGAATCTCAAATGAGTGAGCTGTAGTTGCATACTGAGAAAAAGTGGTTCCCATGTTCTCTACATCTGAAGAAATCCACAAGCAAATATTTGATCCCTATTTGAATGGCGCTCCGGTGAAGAATGGCTTCAGTCACCGTGGGCACAGCCAGATGTAGGTGGTTAGCTTGGGATGGAAGAGGCACAGATGAACAGATATCCGCTGAAGCGTGTCTGTAAAGAACTCTTTCATCCTTATCTACAAAGGCAAACAAACGACCCAACAAAGATGGAGGTTTATGTTGGGTACGGTTCTTCCTATGGAATAAGTACGTTGACCGCTTGTGCACTGCGCTCAGATTCGCTGTATCATTTTCCTCCCAGGGAATTCCTCCCCTTTCATTTCCTTTTTCTTCACAGAAGCTCAAGTAGGGTGCAATTTATTCACACATCAGCATATCTGTCAAAGGTGCTACCGTTCCGTGTAATATTTTCATACAAAACTCAAATATGATATTATACCTTTCTGAAATATTAGGTATCATCCAAGCTTGTTGTACAGAACTGGTTGAATTGTGAGTGATTTGTATGATAATGGTTCCTGACATTCTGATGTTTTATAAATAACTCCGACTTGATTGGCTTTTAAGTGTCCACATGCCTGAGTGCAGACTGAGGTGATTCAATAATCGGCCAGTGGGGAGCTTTTCAGTTCTTATTTGGCTCCACGATGCAGAGCAACAGCCACGCTTCAGAAACGCATCAGCCAAGACAAATCAGCGTCAAACAGCAGAACATCACGCGCGTCGTGTCCTCGGCAACAGTTGCCGTCCTGCACTGTGACCGTGGGCTGAATTCAATGGGAATTAGGAGACCAGCCGCCGGTGACATCATAAGTCTCAATTGATGCCTCTGGGTTCACTTCATGATATTATTAGAAAGAGATGGAGGACAACATGGAGATAGGTGTCTTTACATGCAGCTCTCAGACATGTGCACGGGTCTACCAAGTAAAATTAGCTTTTTAGTGTGTAATCTTTTCTTGGCAACAATATTAAATTGATATGTGGGATTTCTTGGGGCCAGATTTCAAGCAAACACTGCTTCCCCTGACTGCAAACTACAAAAGGCTGATATAAGTGTCACTTTCCACATAACCTCCAATAGTCTGGCCCGGGAATCGGGAAAGAAAACAGTGGGTCTGGAATCCACGGAGCCGGAGGCGTGATGGATTACTCTTGCCTGATAATGACCCACGGAATATGACTGTGTTTGGAAAGGTTTTTAAGTCCATATAGAAATGCAAAAACTCTGAACTGTTGCTTTTTAAATCCTTTCCGTCTGACATCCCTCCCTACTTCAAACATCTCACAGCGCCGGCTTTTCACTGCAGTTTACTCATCCGCTGAGAGCCTCGCGTCGACAGCCCGAGGACGGCTTTGGGCTGCAAGCCGCCCTGAGAGAGGCGGAACCGAGGGGACAAACGGCAGACAGACAGAAACTGCGACCACGTCACGGGTTGAGTTGTAGAGAACATGGCTTCCTCGTGGCTGCATCCTGTGGGGGTCATAAAGGGAAAGTACCAGGGAGAAGCAAGATTACGCAAACAAGCTCAATCATGTCACGTCCCTGCTTGGGGGGGCCGTAAAATGGGTCTTTGTAGGTGCGCGCTTATTTCTACACTCCGGCTCCACTTGAACGCTGTTCTTTTCCAGTCACTAACTACCAGTATTAACACACGTCAGACGCATTTTAATGAATGATAAGAACAGTTAAGTTGGTGAGGCCTTATTTTCTATGAAGACATGAGGCTATTTTGCCGATGACATTTCTTTTCCAGTATTTATTGGAACCAAAACCATTGTAGTTACCAAAAAAAAATGAACCAATTAGGCTCATTTCAATTTAGGGAGCATTTTCATCAAGAGATATTCAGGGAAATAATAAAATCAAACCAAGTGGGAATTTTGTCTGCTACTCGAGAAGTCTTCTCACGAATGGGAAGTTGATGAGAAACAGGTGTCAGAGCAGTAAACGCGCCTCAAAATGTTTATGGATTCATAATCCTCTTGATGGACTCAACCAGCTCAGGATTTTTTTAAAAAGGGGTCACCTTTAACTTTGCAGTCAGGTGTAAGCATCCAAGCATGATGAAGAAGCCACTGTGGCCACGTGAAAAGTCTGATGTAATCCTAAATGCAGACCATAATGCTGGAGGTCAGCAGATCGTCATACAGACATATTTAACCTAAAGAGCCACGGTCATACCAGACCAAAGTAGGTTCCAGCTGCAAAACGGGAATGTTTTGTTGTTTCACAAATTAGACTTTTCCTTCTTAACAAAGTAATGGGTAGTTTCTATTTATTCATTTATTATCCAAGAAAATGTTCAACTATTGTCAATTATCTTGTGCGTGAACATCTCCCACTTCGTAAAGAGGGAAAAATAAATGAAACACCACTTGAATCAATTCTTTTTTCTTTTTTTTTTTATAGGGGAAATTCCAGAAGGTGCAATAATACCCGTCTCTGCCGTTAGAAAGTAGTAAACGTAGCCTCAGGTTTCACAAAATCACTGATTGCTAAGTGAGAGTCACATAAACACAAGTTTATGTTCCCCTAAGTGCTACTTTACACCGAGGAATGAAGGTTTTAGGGTGCCGTGTTTGGCACAATTTGGCTTTGTGTGGACTGCTGGTGACATCACCAACGATGCCGCCTGCAATCGGGCCTCCGTTAGAACCTTCACTGCACCCTCACAATACGGCGCTCAGTATGGTCCCTTTGGACACGCGCTATGAGGTCCAACTGGCTGTAAATCACTAAACGAGCCGCTTTGTGCTGAGAAGCTGCACAGCGTGAAGCAAGTACCTGCAGCACGATGCCCATTTTTAAGAGCAAAGGGAAAGATGTTCGTACAGAGGGACCAAAGGCACAAAGCTGACATCCCCGACATTTGCTGCACATCATCACGGGGCGGCTGCTTAATCGCCAAGAACAGGATTATCCCTTAAGATGAAACTCCCTGCTATCGTTTTAACAGATAACTGCAGATGTTCACCTCTTTTCTGACATTTCCCATTTAGCCATTCTGAAAGGGGGTCTTGATCTCTCTCTAAACAGCAGCAGGGGCGGTGGACTCTGTGAGAGTCAGAAAACATCGGGCCTGGACTGTATAAAAGTCTAGCTCGGTCACATCTCTGCTTATCTCTGTCTGGGGGTTCGAGGGGTGATGGGGCGTGATGGTGTTACTGTGGCTCTGGGATGCATCCTCTAGTCGCAGGGCAGAATCCATTCCCGACCACTTTAATGGACTAGAGCTGGGGGGCCGTTACCCGCCGCCACCCACCCTAAGAATTGACAAGCACCCACGCTTGACTGAACGGCAGCGGATCCACTCGCGCCTTCTTATCGCCCCCACCGACCGAGTGCAGCCTGAATGTGACGCCCCATCGGTGAGACCCGGGTCTATAATTCACCCTGGTGGGGCTTTAGGAGGTGTTACCCTGACTCTCCGCCCCGCCACTCTGCAGGATTATTTAGTACAGATACGGGCCGCCGCCTCAGTGCAGATCAGAGCGCTGGCTTACTCAGTCACGGGCCTGTTTGTCTTGAAATTCACCATAACAAAGTTTTAAGACTCCCTGTCTCTTAAACTCTGTCAAGATCAGGTGAGTAACAACTGAGGATGAACTCTGGATTGACCTCTGTCACCTTCGCCCTGGTGGTCAACATCCAGGCATTTACTCAATTGCTGCCACATTTTTCCCCTCTTATAGAATGTTGATAGAAAGAGAGGGAGGGAGAGACACAAGATGACAGATGAAAATATAACAGACAGATGGGCTTTATGCCTTAGTGGACCGAATTGCAGCTCTTGACTAGGAAATGGTTTGTTTGCTCAACCGACCATTTGCTTAAAGTCGCCTTGAAAAGGCACAGCATGGCTGACCCACCTTAACAGGCACTCCAGGCTACTTACAAAGAGAAGTAATCTCCATTGTGGTTTGCAAAGGACGGCATCGCCGCATTGAAAATGTGGGTATTAAAATGTTATTATTTTAGCCTTTCCAAAGCAAAAGGAGCAAGCATTGGTCTGGTCTAACGGGAGCTGAAGTAGTTAGCATGAAGCTAACTATCTCACCATCCACAGCGGCCGAGCTGGAGGTTAAAGCCTCATTCACAGCTACAACGTTCACTGTGTAATGTCCGTGTGATCACGCGTCGACACGGTGCAGCTCCACTCGTTGTTTCCAAGTTAAAATGACACCTTGAGAAGTGAATAAGCCATCTCCGTCACTGCGGCAGCACACGTGCTGCGCATGACGGGAAAGCCCGAGGCCGAAGCAGCTACAAAGTGGGGGTCAGCAGTGAGGTGGGTGGTCCAGCGCCTTCCTCGTCTCCGTCGCTGTGTCCGAATGCTGTTGACCTGGACGCCCCCCCCCAGCCGAGCGCCTTTTATAAAGCTCTATTCTCCTCGCCTTTTATAGCTTTCTTTTTTTCTTTTCTGTCCTTTTGTGTTTCTGTCCAGATGCTGTTGTGTTGACGTCCATTTTGTTTGCGGTTGTACCTTTCCAAGGACATAATGAGCCTTGTGTACACAACCTGAAAAACAAACCAACCAGTTCTCTGTATGAAGTACTGGCTAAAATCGCTCTGCTTACTTGGAGGTGCCCAAAATAAGTTTGGCGGGATCAGAGGCCGACCATTTCAAAGGTCTTCTGTCACAACGGTTTGTCAACAGGGCAGACAATGAAAGAAAGTGAGAATATTTAGACAACAGTGGAGTTGTCAAGTGTTTATGAGGTCGCTGCAACCTGCACAGGGCTGGTTAATCGCTGTCCGGTGTGGAACCACAAACTGTAAATCAGAGTGGAAAATGTGATGCTAAAGTTTGATGTGTTGAATTTTTCAAATGACTAATGAGCTTTG